CACACATGAAAATATGTTTTAGACGTTACAACAATTAGAAAACTACGATTCCAGTATCCAAAATAATCATATTCAGTTTCTTGCCTCAATGGCCTGTACTGCCGAAAATCTTCACATTTGTGTTCAATTTAACTTCTATCATCTTCAGGGGCAATCGATTCAACCGGGTTCCTCAATGAAATTTCAAACCGTTTGGATTGGCAAATACTGCGTTATATCCGTGAAATAGGAAACATTAGAGTCAGTCAGCTGCTAAGTCATTATCCTTGGAAGGCTTCTCCAGCTGATCGGCGAAGCGAGCATGCTCGAACCCGTGACCTTCAGAGCTATTGATGAACTATAGTGTCAACAGATAAGACTTGGATAGAGTAACAGCTAATGGTGATTAACTTTGAACGATCAACACGGAAAATAACAGTCGTATCCTCTTTTCTGACCTAAAGGATTGCTTCTTTGGGTATAGGAATAGAGTTGTGTAATGCCTGCAACATAAAATAGTTGAACTTTTGAAAATTATGTGTTTTGTTGTATGGACCAAATCGATACACAAGTACCTACCGGTACTGCTTTATTTTTTAGTATCCTGTGTATTGTACTAAAGGAGTGCTTATTACGTTATATATTCTAAAATTCAAAAACATTGAACCATTATATCAAACTAAGCATTACAATTGTAGTGGTTTGGCATTTTGGAACTGCCAAAAAACGGCTTAAAGGACCAAAGTTTTTTTCAGAAATTGGGGAAATTTTACTTAAATACAATGGTTAATTTCATTAAATCCCACATATTGACCGATTGTATTAATCAAAGTGTCACAGGTGTATGCGAAACTCTTCAACGGATTGTCTTTTTCAGTATCCGGCTCGAAGGACCAAAATAATTTTTCTATAATTCGATTTAACTGTTCTAAAATATATCAACATTTAAAAAAATTATAAAACCACATACATTGGATCATTATTTCAACCAAAGTGTCACAGGTACTCGCAACTCCAGTGAAGAGCGGTTTTTGCAGTATCCAGCTCGAAGGACCAACGTACGTGAAAGGACATGCGCGGCGGTGACCGGAGCGGCCGCAGAGGTCAATCTATATAAATCGATCCCTTTGTATCAAGGTCAGGCAAAAACACGTCCGACAGGTTTGCTCGCCGCCCGCTTTTCTTTTTATTCCCGCTATAAGTTTCATCCACTGGTCTGCTCGTATTAAATATCAAGTGCGGGTTCCCACAGTCGGCGACACCGTTTCTTCTTTTTCCTCTTATTTACAATGCCCCTTTTACCTCTTTATGATCACACATGCGGGTAGCTGACCTCTCCACCTATGTATTCTACACCTTCAAGGTTCATTGGCGTGGGCAAGTCCACTCTGATGGGCTTTGCAGTTCTTTCAATAAGTTTGGACCCATTCATTGTTTGTAGTCTTCCTAATTGTAACTTTTTTGAATGGGGAGACATCACGAAAGAATTTTTTGACATGATTGATTTCACGCAACTGGTTTGACTGGCAACATTAAAGAAATTCATTGTGGTTACGATCAACTGATAGAGAGGTTTTCGCAATTTTCCTTCGCTAGATTTTATTTCGATGGTATCGTTATCAACGATAACCCGGCAAAAAGAGTGCTGAAAGGAATACAGACTCCAATACAACTTTAACGATATTGATTTTGTCTTTACGATTGACTGATGGGGTCGATGTTCGTCTTCTTGTCATCTACTTCATTTTCTTTCGGTCGCAATCTTACCAATAAGAAATCCTTCATTCTTCAACTTAGAGCACCAAAGATGGCTGAAAAGAATAACTGAAGACGAGTAAGAAATGAATTCGAACCAACAACCAATTGAATTCCCACCAGTGACCAGAAATTCATTGATAGCAGAACGAAATGTTATAATCCTGAAGGAACAACTGTTGGTATCGCATCTTGTAGTGTTTCAAGCCGGTTCTACCAAGGTGTCATTAGCTCGGCAGCCACGGTCAGGGCAGGAAGAGCTCAGAGGGCAAGGGTCGAGGAGAAATTAACAAACTGGAACGAACCTACCATCTAACATCTACCTTCCTCTGCTACCTCCGCCCACGAGACACTCGTATAGCAACATACGCGCTGGAAAGTTTACCTTTGTCACTGACTGTGTTTGAGTTTTAATTTACCGTCTTTGTTGAATTAATTTATAATAATTTCGTGAGTCAAATATTGTAACTGGACTCATTAATGGCATAAGATAATTTGGATGGAAGAGTTTTTTAGCCATAAATAACTTTTAGATTAACTTCTAATTATTCAGATTTGAACCTTCCACAACACAAATTAAGTATTGCCAATAGAACTTAAAGGATGAGTCGAATAACTAGACACAATAGAAACCAATGCGACAACACAAGCCTTTCGATTGGAAGAATTGAAAAGAAGTGCTAATGATACTTTAAAGGTCCAACCACGTATTCTTTAAGGCTACATGGTGGTATATTAACAATCTTAATTGTATTGAATATGTAGTATTTCCGGATACCATTTGTTGCTATAGCTGTTTATAAAATTTAAGTGCCCTCTGCCTTTCCAGGAGGTTACTCAGATAACTCATCTTGGACTGTTTTATCAAACCTTCATGGCACTTTTCTCTTATAAAATCCATTGAAACTTGAGGGTGGCGTGCCAGGAAGAATCCAGGATGTCATAGGTAGGGAGTAAGTAGGCCTAGACAGGCGTCTGCGTCGAGAAGTGAATTAAAAGGCAATTGCCAGACGATTGTTCTGCTACCATTCTCACATTACGATACAATAACTGAGTCGAACGCAGAGTTATGTGGACGGCGGGTGCGTTCACCCCCATTCTGCACGGTTCGATACCCACACGCACACACACGCAGCCTTACCTGCGTGCCAGGGCGGGAGCTTTCCAAAATTTCAGGTGCCTCTAAACACTAATTGATGGTTGGAAGCTCACGAACTTCGGTGACAACGGGTTTAATTAGAGCGTGCCGGAGGAAGGAATTATCAGGCGGTGTTGGCCTACTGTTATTACTTCATTAAGAACCCTTGTAAAATCAGGTAGCACAGTTCCTCCACTCTTAAATGTCAGGTGCTCCTGTACTGATTTACAAAGTTTTCCAATTTATATTACTCAGTTGCGGTAACTCCAGTTTTGTATATATTTCTACGTTGATTTTCCGGATAGGAGAAAATCAATAGTCCTTGCATTCCTTAAAATGATATTACTTCGTATTGGGATTGGATTGAGCCTAGTAGAATCAAAACAACACATTTTTAAAGCATTCCTTCATAAGTTCTGACCTCAAACCGTCGTTTGCAAAGTTTTAATACAAATGCGTGATACTTCGTTACTCTTGTTTTAGGAGCTCTCTCTCATATCATCATGATTGACTGATCGAATGATCAAGAACCGCTGTTCCGTCGTTCCCTTGAGGCGAGAGACTGGTCCTCGTCCCTCCATTCCAGGTTTATAGCCTCGATCCAGATCAGCCAATAGGAAGTCCACGTTGGGCACCTGCCAGCCAAGGATTATTCTAATTCCGTGGCCGGTTTGTCGCTCCATTTTCGTCATCGTCTGGACGTCTTTTACTGCTTCATCCGTCTCGTGTTGTGATAAGATTATTTACGGCCTCGCCCTTGCCCGTGTTTATGTTTACGTCCCTGAATCGGCACCTCCTTTTAACTCCCTTTAAACTGGCCAGCCTAATATTCACAACAGGTTGAGTTTCTTATTTTTTTATATATGCCCCAAAGAAAATACCTTCAATGTTTTCTTATAAGATTTTATCTGTAAAGGTCGACACCTGGAAAAAAGATTATGACGAATTTGAATAACAATTGTTTTATTGTTAATTAGGAAAATCCTATGATTGCACATAGCTTCTTTTGCAGAAGACTTTCCGATTCGACATGTATGGAGTGAGTTGTCGTATTCGATTTGACTAAATTATACACACAATTTATCCTGAAGCTTATCATGAAACCATTCCTATAGAGTAACTGTACCTTAAGAATTTATTTTCTTCTTTCTGCCACTCGGGGGAAGAATTATTTACGTAGTAACATTTGAAATACGAGATATAGCCTATATTATGATATAACAAAAAATCTCTTACCAATACTCCTTACTATCAGTTTTCTACAACTATCGAAGATCCATAAAAGAGGGCACAAAGTTCAACGAAATTTTCCCCTTGACCTTTCGCTAATCTTTGACTTTCGGCTACCGTTTACTAATGGTTCACCTGTTCGATCCTCTCACAAAGACATTCCTCGCACATTAAAAATCGATTACACCGTGGGATGGTGAGTCACGGCAGCTTTGTCTCTGCGGATTTGATAGTTGCACTGGAGGTCAAGGGTCGCTGGGAACCGCACAGTCACCCATCTACCGTCTCTCGTTAACTCGGCAGCTTCTAGACTCCCAGTCATCGCCGCGGTCAAGAGTCTGACCTGACTGACTCATTCTCTCTGACTCCGTTAGCAAACATTTCCGTCAATCCGAAATGTTGACGTCTCACCTTCCCAATTCTTGACGTTCTTTTGCAGCCTTGATGATTTCTTTGGTTGCTGGGAAGGACTTTGGTGTTCTAAATAGTAGTATTGATCTTGTATAATTTTGCTTTTGGAAATTCAGGTAAAATTGCCCAAAATATAAGTTCCATAAGCGTTTATAGATTTCAAAGCATTCTTTACTTTTATTTTGCAGCGTCTTACTTTCGTGATCTAGAGTATTTGCACTTAGTTCAGGCTTAAGAAATCTATAAATTAAAAAACAACGAGGAATTCTCAAAAACTATAAATAAGACCAGATACACCCAATACATAACAATCATTTTTGTGGATCGACTTGTATGTCGTGATTGTGCTGTGGACTAACTGGCTAATGTGCAGTCCTAACATTAGGGCTTGGTTTATCGGTGGAATAATATGATTCTGAACACATATTTAACGAATGTAAAGGAGGTATTGTTGCACACTTCTAAAGATGCTTTATGGTTGTTGCAGGGGAAGCAGTAACCGAAGACACGGTGGCGGGGGTGGGGGTGCGGGCCGGGGCTCCGGCCTCTCTCAAGGGGAGGAAGAGGCCCGTGGAGACGGTGATGAACGGAGATCAACACACCAACAACAATAACAACAACGTCAAGTCCGAGAGGTTAAGTCCTGCCACAGCGGACAACAACAGCAGCTCCTCCAGGAGCGGCACGCCGAGTTCTGTTTATCCAGGGACTCCGCCCTCGCAGCCTGACAGGCCGGCCAGCCCCTCTTCTACGGCACCGCAGGAGACGCTCATGAGCAGGAATTACAGCGACTTCATGCGCAGTCTAGCAGCCAAATACAACAACAACAACCCTAATGAGTAAGTATCTTGAGCTTTTGTTCGCTTTGTTTTTTAAATTCTATCTACTGACCAGTTTTACTATTGAAAAAAAAAATAGTGATTAGTTCTGATTTGAAATTGACTTCACCAACGATTTTATTACAGCCAATGCTTTCAGCCAGTAGCTTTTATGTGGTGCATCACGTGACCTATCCCTGCACTAGGATGTAGTATTTGGTAACATTATCCTGCAAAAAAATAACTTTATAAATGTGATAATCACTATGAGTCCCTCTGCTGATCGTCAATTTAATTTGTGCATACATTGTAAAAGACTTCTTCAGGCAACCCCACTAATACAATATTATCTCTTGATAGCTACAATTTCTTGTCACTTCACTAGTGTCCTTATTATGTTTCTAGATGGAAATTCCGTTTGTGCAGATTCAGTAATTCAAATTTGGTTTGTGGCACTTCTACTAAAACAACACTTATTTTCCAATCAGGTGACTCTAAGTAGTATATTTTGTACTTCTGTGAGAACTAAAGGACAGTAAAAATAATAGTTCCTTTTGAAACTTTCGTTCAATCCGAACCCCCATTTCAGCAACAAGTGTTTCTGATGTGATACCCTATACTTCTCACCTGAGGTCGCGTTTCATTCCTGATGGTTCTTGGTCCACAGTCCACCATTCCGTGTCTCCATGTTGCAAGGCCCAGGTTAAGCAACATCTCACTGACATAATTCCCCTTCACGGTCCAGTGACAGCTAAATGTTACTGTCCACTCCAGCGGTGCCAACCTTTGCCCACGATAATCGATTCTTGCGACAGGTCTGCCAACTGACACCACGGCCACCGGAAAGTGTCTTTGAGTTTAACTTCACAAATGACTTCGTTTAGGTTTGAGGAAGTTGTCGCTCGCCGGTTGTTTGTGGACTTTCACATCTGGCTTGCACGACATTTCATGTCGCTGGGCCAAGGTTTCATAATGTGTAGATCTTATAATCTTTAATGCTTCATGGCTCTTACTCATGAATATGCCATTAGTTGATCCCTTTGGATTGAGGATTACCGAGAATTTTAAGGTATCGAATTCTGTTTGGACAATGTTTTTAGTGTCTAAAAGATTTGTTAGTCTAACAACGGACCAAGCTTACTTTCCCAGCTCATATTTCAGCTTCTTAAATCTCAGAATCTTATCGAACTAAGCTGTATAAACTAGAACACATAATCGTTATAAGTTGATATGGTAATTGATTTGTCTTCTCTAACGTATATTTTAAATTTAGTAAATCACATGCAAGTCCCCTACATTGTTCACACGCACTTACCGACGCTGAACTTTGACAAAATCATCTATTGATCAACCAAAAACAAACAACTAGTAATTCCTCAACGTAAATACTTCTCCGCAACCAAGCAGTTATCTGAAAATTCCCTACTTTATCAAAATGTGAATCGTCTTTATCCATTTCAACCAGTTCATCCAATTAGAAGTTTCATCAAATAAACCGTGAACCTTTGGAAAGGTAGGCAATTAATTCTAACCCCGATCACACAATTTTACTCAAGAATCAATCATTCGATGAACTATTTGGAGCAGCATGAAAGCAGATAGTTTTTGGATTCCGTCACGTTTTCTCGCTGTGCCGAGAAGCCTCGGATCACCAGCTAATTCCAGCAGTCGACCTGTCAGTAATGGGGCGTGATGATGGATGATGTTCACACGGCACAAAGAGGTGCCAGATTCAATATGGCGTCCTCGAGGTCGCCACGGTTGGTCCTGTCCAGTGTTCCAATGTTCCGAGATTGTCCACGGGCTAGGGGAACAACGGATCCGGATCACACATCAGCCGGGTGTATTGATTATTTTGAGATTGACCTTCATGAAGCCTTGCCTTCAGCTGATCAGACGAAGGGCGACGATAATGATACAATGTGTGAAGGATTTAATTGGAACGGACATTGGACATAATTAGAAGCCTTGGGGTTGTTGATAAAGACTTAATTGTGATTGTGTTAGAAGAATTTGTTGTAAGAAAGACTTAGTAAACCAAAAGTATGGCTTTTATTCATTCAAAATTACAACCATGTTTTAGTTAAGAACAAATACAATATTTACAAACAAATCAAATAATAAATATTATCAGGTGATAATGTTCACATCACCACATTCTCCCCCACTATTTTTCAAGGTAGGTATAGCATATGTAATCCTTTAGATATGACGGAGGCTTGACATTCCTCTTTGGACGTAGTTCCCCCACAGCCGTCTCTGAAGTTGGGGTCTGAGATACCGATTGTTGAGTTTCATTTTGAACTTCATTGTGGTCAATGTCTGAATTTATATTTTCAACAATCTCTCTCTCAGTAGCGTTGTCTTCATGAGGTAGATCACCAGGAGGTAGGCCAGCGGGTGCAAGATGTCTCAGGGATACTTGTGATTCTGACCCATCTCTTCTTCTGACGAGAGCGTACTGTGGATTTGATTCCAAAAGTTGAACTGGCTCCACAAGGTCATCATATTTATTAGATCTTACAAACTTTCTAAGCAGGACAGGACCAGGAGCGGATAGCCAAGATGGTAAGGAGTCTCCATTGGTAGTTCTTCTGCTATGTATAAAGAATCTTTCGTGCGGTGTGCAGTTTGTCGCAGTGCATAAAAGAGATCTGACTGAGTGAAGTGCCTCCTGTAATACTTCTTCCCATGCAGCAACTGGCAGGTTGTGGTTTTTCAAAGCTAGTAGGATGGTTCGCCATATTGTTCCATTGAAGCGTTCAATCTGAGAGTTCCCTCTAGGGTTATAAGGTGTCGTATGACTTGTAGCTACTCCGTACTTGTGAAGAAAGTCCGTCAGCTCTCCCGACATGAAAGATGAGCCTCTATCTGAATGTACAAAGGACGGGGCTCCAAACATAAAAAATAGATCTGAAAAACATCTGATAACTGTTGCTGAACTAATGTCCTTACAGGGGTAAGCAAATACAAAACGAGAATACTCATCCACCATGGTTAAAAGGTAACGGTTTCTGGTTGTTGATGGAAGAGGGCCCTTAAAGTCAATATTTAGACGTTCGAAAGGAGTGGTTGCCTTTATCAATTTGCCTTGGAATTGGTGAAATCTTGGCTTCACTTCTGCACATGTTTGACAAGCTGACGTCATCCTTTTTACATCATCCAGAGTGTAGTTTAGATTTTTAGTTCTAATCCAATGAAACATTCGAGTGACTCCCGGATGGCAAAGAGATTTGTGTAATTCAAACAACTTGGCATTATCCCAGCGAACCGCACATGCCCGAGAGAGCGTATCTGCTTTTACATTCTCCCTACCAGGTCGGTACACTATTTCATATTGATAGCCTAAGGTGTTAGCTCTAGTCGCCATCTCATAACCTTATCGTTCTTGATTTTGCTTGTATGCCTCTTGTCAAAGATAAATGATAAAGCTTGCTGATCCGTGTATAATCTGAAGTCTCTTCCGATAAGAAATGATTTCCATTTTCGAAGGGCTTCGACAATGGCAACGGCTTCTTTCTCAACAGCTGAATACAGCTTCTCAGATTTGTTTAGAGTCCGTGAGAAAAAAGCAATTGGCCGATTATCTTGACTCAAAGTTGCTGCCACGGCTATGTCAGATGCGTCAGTCTCCACTACCAGTGGCTCTTGCCCATTCCTAGGAGTAATTACTGAGTTTGCAATGTCAAGTTTGAGGGCTTCAAAATCTGCAACCGCTTCCTGTGACAAAGGAAAAGAATTGACTTGTGTCAGGTTTCTTATTTTATCAGAAAACCGATGTATCCATTTTGAATAGTGAGCGAAAAATCCTAGGACTCGCTTTAGTGAAACTTGGTCTTTGGGCACAGGAAGTGACAGTAGAGATTCTAGCTGATCTGGATCAGGTCGAATAGAGTTATGGGAAACTAAATGTCCCAACAAGGTTATTGAAGTCTGGTTGAACTTGCTCTTTTCGTTGTTGATTACAAGTCCATACTTAGTTACAGCATCTAAAAATGTTCTTAGATTCTCATCATGATCCTTTTGATCCTTTCCACATACGGTCAAATCATCCAGATAGGCATACACTCCATTCAGTTTTTCTTTTCTAATGATTTGGTCCATGGTCTTTTGAAAACATGCCACCCCATTGGTTACGCCAAACGGAATTCTTCTGAATTGAAAAAGACGACCAGCAGCCTCAAAAGCAGTGTACTTCTTCTCTTCGTCAGAAATTGGTATTTGATAGTATGCTTGCTTTAGATCAATGGCACTAAAAACCTTGTTCGTCGCTACAGTGGATACTAGATCGTCTATGTTTGGTAAGGGATAGGCGTCTAACAGAGTAAATTTGTTTATCGTTTGTGAATAGTCCACACACAGTCGCTTCTTCCCTTTGTCGTTTGTAACAACCAACACTTGTGCACGCCAAGGTGACGAACTAGGTTCAATGATCTCCTCAGTCTGTAGTCTTTCCATTTCTTGTTTTATAAATTGCATATCTTCATCTGAGTAACGTCGTGATTTTGTGGCTATTGGCTTACAATCTGGAGTTAAATTGCAGAATAGTTTGGGTGGTTCAACTTTGGCACAGGAGCACACCAACAGAGGAGGTTTCTTACCTCCAAACCAAACCTGTATATTTGAGTGGAGTTTCATGATATCATGTCCGATAAGCACGTCAGTACAAAGATCTTCAAGAACAGTCAACTTAAAATTGTTGTAATTGTGATTCAACAGATTTAGGTTAATTTTAACAAACCCGTGGACGTTTGATTTCATATTAGAAGCAGCTAGTGATACTTGTCCACTTTCATTATACATTTTAATTTTGTTTAACTGAACAAACTTCAAGTTTACAAAGCTTGATGTACTCCCGGTGTCTATTAAGCAATTTGCTTTCAGGCCATTCACTTTAGCTTCAACTGTAGAGTCCTTCAATACAGATGTATTATGCGTTGTTGCTATTAGTGCAGCTGATGTACTAGACGTCTTCTGTTTTACTTTAAAATGTTGAGTTGGATTACTTTTACAGACTCTCGCATAATGCCCTGTCTTGTTACATTTCCCACAAGTTGCTTCTCTGGCTGGACAGCGATCTCTAGAGTGTCTGTCATGCCCACAAAAATAACACTTGCCATCAACATTTTTAATAGCGGAAACAGTCGCTTCTTCCTTTTGTTGTAGTGGGAATTCGTACTGACAAGCTTGCTTTGCCAATTCATTTGTTGCACAAGTTTGCATTCCGTTCATAGATTTTGGATAGCTCTCGACTTGAGCTTGAGCCATTTCAAGAGCTCTAGACTGTTCCACTGCTTCGGCTAGGTCTAAAGTTTTATTTTCAAATAGTTTCTGCCGTATGTATGACGAGGCTAAGCCATTGATAAAAGCATCACGAATGTAGTGATCCCTGTATTGAATCGCATTAACAGCTTCAAAAACGCAATCTTGGCTCAAAAGTTTCAGTTCCGACACATATTTGTCAATAGTCTCACCTTGTTGCTGTTTTCTAGTCATTACTAAATATCTTGAGAATATTTCATTCTTTTGTTTGATGTAAATTGAGTTAAGAACTCTCAAAGCGTCTTGGTAAGTTTCAGATTCCTTGATAAATCTATAAGTAGTAAAAGATAATCGATTAGTTAGTAGTTTCAGTTTGTCCTTGTCTTCAACGAATTCTGTCATGGTTAGAAAGTCTTCGAATGTTTGTAACCAGTGCGTCCATTCCTCTGAGGCAGTTGGATATTCCGGGTCAATTTGCAATTTGTCTGGTCTAAGGAATTTCTCCATTGTAATGTAGCACTAACTGAGTTTATCAATGAATGAATAAAATTGTTGTAAGAAAGACTTAGTAAACCAAAAGTATGGCTTTTATTCATTCAAAATTACAACCATGTTTTAGTTAAGAACAAATACAATATTTACAAACAAATCAAATAATAAATATTATCAGGTGATAATGTTCACATCACCACAATGGTGTTGTGTGAAGGTTGCTGCAAGACTACCCTAAAATCCATTATAACCTCGTAGTGCATTTTATTACCTTTTTAAAGGATTCTAGAATTTTTCTTAAGTTTTTGTTAACCATCCATCCTTAATCATGAGATGTTATGAAAAGGCTCTACTATATCAATAAAGAGTGGTGCTTTAATTCTGGAATGTGTATTCCTGGATCTGTATTTTTAATTTGATATCTGAATTGGAAACTTAAAAAAATACCTAAGATTTTTGCATTTTAATACTTTGTGGTAACTAACAAGTTTTGTCCGTGAAATCGTTATTTTATTTTGAACTGGGGTTAAATTGTTAAAGACCAAAGGAGGCTATGACACAATCCATTAGCTACCCTCCTCAACTCCTTTACCTCATATAAATTCAAGTTTGATCAGCTGAGTTTAGGTTTTTATTGTTATTTTATTTACCATCAGATGAAATAACCTAAATTATCGTGCTCCAAGTTGAACTTAAAGGGGTTTGGAACAGCTAATTGATTGTGGCCATTCAAATCAAAGTAGTATTGTAATATTCAATCAGTCATATTAAAATTTAAGAACTAAAAATTAACTTACGTAGTAAAATAGAGCGAACTTAGGTCAGTTATTGTAAGTGTATTCTGATGAAGGTGTTTCTTAAACTGTGTTCGATTGTTGCAGCTACTTCAGTTCGCCCCGCAACGGCTACCCGCCCAGCCTGGACCCGCGGTTCTCCGCGTTCAAGCCTGGTGCTGCTACACCCTTCGTGGGTCTAATGGCTCCTCTGGGCTCCACCAGCTCTGGCCCTTCGGCCGCTGCGCCATCCAACACCAAAGACACCCCCGAGTCGGACTTGAAGCCTGGCGTCCCGACACCCGCGGAGGCGCAACAGGCGCTGTGGCTGAACGCCTTCTCACACCCGGGCGTCGGAGTTCCGTTCCTACCACCCGTCGTAGACATGAGCAGCACCCAGGCGCTGCTGAACATGGTGCGAACCGCGAGTGCTCAGAGTGCTAACCAGTTGGAGACATATTTGAAAGGTGCGATAAAAAGGCCTCCGGACAATCCTAATAATCCGTTGGACTTATCTTCGAACGCTGTTACTCCTCCTCCCAAGAAACCTAGGAAACACGTGCCCTCGCTCAGCGAGAGCTTGTACGGTCCAGACGCCCTCCTCAGCTTCCCCATGCTCACCGCCCTCCAAAGAACCACCAAGGATCGCCTCCAGGCCAAGCGAACTGGGAGTGTTTCTCCCAAGCCTAAGTCCAAGTTGGCCACCTCTCCCCGAGACTCAACGTCTAGGCCTTCGTCGTGTCTTTCCCTGTGTTCTACGGGAGACAAACCCTGCTCCTCGTCCGCTGACTCCCAGACAGTAGCCCATTGGACGGTTGACGACGTCGCTACCTTCATCACCTCCATTGACCTCTGCGCCGAGTACGCTCCGGTGAGTAACATTTGATGATTTGTCCTTATGTGTAGATAGAACCATAGAACGGGCGAGGTGGAGTTTCAAATAAAATCCTAGAAGCCCATATGATGGGACTCACATTAAAAGAAAACAACCACACTTAGTGATCATTTAGCTATGGCTTGATAAAATTGTAGTTTACAATTAATTAGTTATTCTCACAGTTTGGCATGATCAAAATGATGGTCAAAGATTTACTTCAGTACACTCTGTCAATGGACTTATTAAACTTGTTAAACTACAGTATTTTCAAATATTTGTTAAGACATAGGAATGTCTAATTAATGGTAGAGTACGGTACGACGGTACCTAAAGACAAATAGGTTTAATGAAATATTTTTGTTTATGAATCAAATGTAACCTAAAGGACAGCTGGGGCCAAGTTTGGACCACACATATTTTGATCAGAATAAAACTGACTCAGATACCCCGCAAAAATAAGTCCTAGATGATCGCAAAGCTCGCGCAAAGTGACACTGTCACATAATCATTCGCGCTATCGGTTGGCCTTGTCGAAGCAGGTAAGCGGGTAGGTTGGTAGCTCTGCTATAATTACGACGCCTGCGCAGCACTCACCTGCTCTGCGCCTGCGTATAAATCATGCGCGGCGAGTGTTGCGCGCGTTATTTTCTATTTGTTGACCCTCATTTACATACGACCACGCGACCGACACACGCGCACGCTCGGTCGACCCTCATTAGTCGTGCCTTGTGGGGCAGAAACAAAAACACAACGGAGATCGTGTTGAACAACTTTGAGGTTAGGTTTGACGTACGTAGTCATCACTGAAAATACATTCACATGTTCAATATACATTGAATTGAATATACATCATCATGAACAACTTCGAGTTTGGGTTAACGGAGTCATCAGCTATCTGTTGACTTATGGATATACATGTATCCTATTAAACAACTTATAGGTTAGGTTAGATGGAATCATCATCAACTTGATCTATAAGGTTGACTTTTGAATATAATGTATCGTGTTGAACAATTTTGAGGTTAAGTTAGACGGAGTAATCATTAAACTATATAATGTGTCTCTGACGAGGTCTATTGTAATCAGTGATTATCCAACGACCAATAAAATACTTCATTACTTGATTATATACAATTATGTATACCATTAATCTTTGAATAGGTCGTCCTAAACAACTTTGAGGTTAGGTTAGATGGAGTCTTTATTTGAACTATTTCTATATCATAGATTTTTTAAACATATCGTGTTAAATAACTTTGATGATAGCTTTTAACAGACTGTTCGCAGTCATTATTAAGCTATGGTTATGATTTTTTTGGTAACTGTAAATATCTGATTTATATTATTTACTTTGTACAACAGATTGAGTTTGTGTTATATTACTTTGATGTTGGGTTTGGCAAAATGTCCGCGTGGTCCATCTTTGTGATGGGATAGACTTCTAGATACGAGGTCATCTCATATATATTATTCATTTTGAATAGTGTAAGTAGAATTCACGTGTAGGCCTACCTATGAATGAAATATTGACTTGCAACTTAAAAAGTAAACCACTCAGCACCAATAGTTGGAATTTTGGCTTGGATATTAAATTTTTGGATAATTCTATACTATTTCGCTGATAATGACGGAAATCATACTTAGTCAGAAATATACTCTTGTTTCTTTTTTCATTCTATTAACAATCCAATATGAACATATCAAACCGTTAAGTACATACAAATCAAATGCATGAAAATAAAAATATTGCAATAGGTCTATTATTGACGCCAAATTGCATAATATGCAAAGATCCCTTTGCGTTTTTTGTGTAAGTTATCACAAATCCCTATGTATCTATACCAAAAAAATGATCGTGTGATCGCTTGGAAATCATAATTTACAGCAAACAAACCTCTTGTACAATTTAAACGGGTTACGAATCATAATCCACTTATGTCAAGGGGCATGAGCATAACATCAAATTACCCCTACAACGCCGAGCTCTTAATTGCGTAGATAATTACACGAAACATAACAAGGTCAAATGAGAACTTCTATAAATATGTATTGTTCATTAGTCTAAAGATAGTTATCTTGGTCCGGGCCCGTTGAAGTTGGACGCAGCAAATTAAAAGATGAAATCAAACAGTCCCAGGTAATGCCGGGTTGGGATATTTCGTGCTGCGGGCCTGGTAGTTGGCTACTCTGGTTCCGTGTTAAATGCAAAGTGCATCCGTTAATTGGACTAGCTAATCAGCAAGTGACAATGTAGATCATAGGATTTGGGAAGCCGATTAGACCCGATGATTGTCGAATGATTCCGATTTGAAAATAAACTTTACTCAGTACGCTTGGAATCGAACTAGTGGTCTTCAAATTTTAAGACGACGGCTATAACCAGTCGTCGAAGACAATTTTTGTCATTCTTACCAACTTCTTAATTGATTGGTTTTTCCATCTTTACGAAAGAACATAGTATCAAGTTTCGTAGTTTTTTTCTTCTTCATGTTTAGAAAACTGTACTATGCTTTAGTGGTACTTAATACAATTAATACTCGTTAAATACTCTCTTTAGTTAGGTTATAACACTATCTAATAATACCTTTTATACATTTTAACCTTGTACGGATTTATAACACAAACAATATATTACAGTATAAGAATACTATTGACTCTCGATAATCCATAGGACATAAGGTATCGGACTTTGGACTATAAAAACGTTAGACTACTGAAAGTAATTTAACCCAACTAAACATAACCTAAATTTACCTAAAACCTAACTTACGAGTGATCCTTGACTATTGGATGTTCAAATTAAATAGTTTTAGTAATTTCTTAAATCAATTGCACATTTTATTGAAAAAGTTTAACGTGTAGAGAAATTGTAAAAGGAATTACAGAACGTTATATTTTAAACAATTTGAATCTTCGGGTATCATCGGATCTACTCGGCTCCTCCCCGAATCCCACGATCTCCAACGCCAGCTGATTAGTAGTTGCTAGCATTAATTAGCTGTGTTTGTATTGTTGTAGTCTGCATGTTCAGCTCTGATACCTCAGTTTAAATAGTGAGTAATTTCTGTAATCAGTCTCCGTTTCCGACGCTTCTAGTTCTTAAAAGGCGAATCTAATTGCATTCTTCGTTCTAACCGTCAATTTTTAACCTCGAATTCAGGTTTTGTATTGTTAGCTATGGCACATTAGTTTTTATGGGTGTTTTGTTTTCTTGTTTAGTAATTTCACATGTACCATTACGATGTCTGGTGTGATTATAGTTGAAGTTCTCTTAATCTGTAATCTTGTAACACATTTACACTTTACAGTAATTGCTATCACATTGCACGGTGCTTCTGGGATTCTTCTTTAGCTTTCTGGGACTCACATCATCTGACGTAAAAGTTTAAATAGTTTGTACACAGAGCGTTAAATTCCCTAGTCTCCCTTTATGAATTTGTCCCTTGCATGTACACAAACATATACTGGATCGGAAAGTGCTTATAGTTTGCAATTAGTGTGTACAAGATATAGATTGTCAATTGATGTATTGTTAATCAGCTGTTTTCTGTCAATTCTCTTATAACGAATCAGCTGATAGTTATAATTCGTATAAACAGCTGTTTACGATCATGTGTTGTAGGGAAGAGTGAGGCGGTTCTGAGACGTCACTGGCCAGTAGAGCGAACAGTTATAAACGTGTATTTACGTCGCCTAATTAACTTATATGAACACCTTGTGATAAGCAGAGTTATGCTCTGGATCGCCCAAACACGCTCATCGTGACGTGAGGCAGTTTTTCCTCTCAAAGTTTCCCTTTAACTCCTAGGTCAAAGTATATCTGAACAGCTGAAATTGCTCATAACACAGGGTTGGTAGTTTGACTAGAGAATACTCTGTAGATTTGTTGTGTGTTGTTATGCCCCTATCCCAAAAGGCATAGTTTTCAGCATTGTACCAACTAGGGCTCTTTGGCACTTATACAATCCATGGCCCTCACATACATTATCCATCAGGGTGCTAAATACCATCCCTGGCGACTTATACCATCCAGGGCGCCTTATTTTATTTAGGGTGCCTTATAATCCAGGGCGCCTTATACCATCCAGGGCCCTTACACACATAATCCATCAGGGTGCTAAATACCACCCCTGGCGCCCTATACCATCCAGGGCGCCTTATACTATCCAGTTCGCCTTATACTATCCAGGGCGCCTTATACCATCCAGGGCCCTTACATCCATAATCTACAGTATCAGGGTGCCAAATACTATCCCTGGCGCCTTATATCATCCAGGGCGCCTTATACCATCCAGGGCGCCTTATATCATCCCTGACGCCTTATACCACCCAGGGCGCCTTATACCATCCGGGATCCTTATACCAGCCAGAGTGCCAAATACCATACATTGCTCCTTACCCCTCCATGGGCGCCTCATACCATCCACGGAGGCTACGGGTGCAACCACGGTGTGTGTTTTGAATCCAGTTGTCGGTAATGATGACCGCGGGACGCCGCTAATGCTGCCATTTACGGTCCAAATGGTCGACAATTTGACGAAACGAACCCGAGCAATCAGCCGCTCGTTAGGCGTGATTGTGCGTGTGTGCGTGGCCGCGCGTGCGAGTGTCGACCCGCAACGCTGTTTTGACAGCCAAGCCCGATAAAGGTTAATAGGCCCCATTGTGGGGGGAGGAGCGGTTCGGGATTGATCTTTGATCGAGAATGTTTTCTCGGAGCCTCCGGTCAATCTGGAGTCTGGAGTCTGGAGCGGCTGACCTGAGGATGGAGGTCAACTGTTTGGTAGTTCGACAGTCAATGCTTTTGTTTGGAAAAGGTCCAAAACCTGGTATTGTTAGTATCTAAAGCTAAAGTCAACCTTTTGATTGCATTGATAGCCCATTGACAATTTACATCTGGGTCGGGAATGGACTCTGCTTGGTATTGAACCGGCAACCTGCAGATTTGAAGGGAAGATCCACTCGGTTACCCAGACATTTACCGCAGTCGCATT